TTTTCTCTAATATACCTTTTTGTCTCTTATTATAAAAAAACACTTCCTCCACCATAGACCGCCACTCTCCATGACGAACCCAAGAAATCTCGAAAATCTCAAAGAATCAGCCCCAAATGTTTTGGGAGAACTGGCATTGCCATATGATCAAGGTCCTCGGAATCCCGCTTGCAAAGAACACACCATTGCAGCCCCAAACAGGAAGGAGAGTGCTTCTGGATACGATCCAGGATGTTGACTTTCCCAAGTAAGACCTACCACACGAAAAACTTGATCTTCTTCGGAATATTCACTTTCCACAATGAGGCAAACACTGGGGCCGAAGGGGGAGAATTAGGGGAACATAAAAGGTTAAAGGAACCAGAAGAGAAATCCCTAGAAGGATTAGGGGACCAAGCATCTAACAAAGTGTCCCATCAATGTTACATCACTCATTGTCAATGGTAGAGACTAAAAATAAGCATCAAAATCTTTGGTCATACCCAATATTTTCAAGGAGCAAGGCGCACCTCAAGGCAACAAGCCCTTTAACCGCCTTAGGGAGAGAGACAACAAAAAGACGAGACCTGAGTGAAAGCGAGATGCACTTGATAAAACTACAGTATCAAAAAACGATCAAAGGACAGCTCCTTAGAAGATCTTTTGATTTCTTTCTCGTCAAGTCATCCAAAATAAGGCCTAAATGAAATTGTTCCATAAAAGTTTCTTTTCTTTGCTGAACGGGTGCCCCAAAAAAACGGAGATAAGGGAAGGTGGGTCACTAGGGAGAACCATGGACCATTTGAAAGACGATAAAAGTCTAGCCCAAAAGGATATTGCATAGTGACAATGAAGGAACAGGTGACTATGTTTCTGCATCCTCTTGCAAATGGCACACCATTATGGTGAAAGGCTCAGGTATGGCATCCTATTTTGAAGCTTGTGATGGGTATTTTTGGCTTTGTGACTCAGCTCCCATAGAAATAGAAATAATTTTACTTTCTTGGCTAATAATTCATCCAAAAAGCTTCATACAAAAGAGGAGTGTTGTAAACCTTTTTTTTCTTTTTTTTTGAAGAAACAATTTTTCATTGATAGATGAAAAGATACAAAGTGTTCAAGGATTCAACTTCCAAAAGGAGAAAAACAAAAACCAACTACCAACCAAACAAAAAGAGCCACAACAACAGCTCCCAAAAGAAGAAACCAAGAACAAACCAAAAAGCCAAATAGAAAACCACCAAACTAACCAGAACTAAAAACAACTCCAGCTTAACAAAACCTAACAAAAGAACAGCAAACCAAAACCTCAAAAAAAAAGGGATGTGAAACATAGCCAAGAACATGTCGTCTTGGAAAAAGAAAATAAGCTGTCTATCGAAACAATAGTAATGCCCACTTGATTGAAATAATCAGATAAATCTTTTGGGACCAAACATTTGCTGAATAACTCTTGCAACGAGTCATCTTCAGACGGTAAATAAGAAATTTCTTTATCTTCAACCTCATTGAATAGAGAAGTAAGACCATCTTTAGAGAAGACATCAAAACCACTAGCAATTGAGTCTTCAACAATGAGCCCTTTTTGTTGTCAAACCCTAAAGGATAGGTGGAGCACTAAATCAGCCCATTCCTCTTTTGAAGTCAGGTTCCAAATTTCACTTTCATCCATCCAAAGATCCTTCAGAAGCTTCCTTCCTCTATGAGATTTCATTAAGCAAATGGTACTTATGAGCCAGGATGTCATTTTGTAGCCAAGGGTCACCCCAAAACATAGTATGACATACCTCCCCCACCTTGCTGGTTGTGTGGTCGTGACGAAAGATCGATGCTTCAAGATATGTTTCCATGGTCCATTGGCAATAGCTAAGGAATAGTTTCCTGGTTTAACATTTAGAGGCGACGTTCAATATTTAGAATCAATAGCCTATCTCCAAAGAGCCTTTTCCTCCTAGTCATAATATCTTCAAAGTTCAAATCCATTTTGCAAGGAGGGCTTTGTTCTTATCCCTTAGGCTTGTGAGCCCCAATTCACCATCTTTAATGGGGAGAATAATTTCCTCACATCTAACAGGGTGCAAGCCAATTTTGTCACAATTTCCTTTCCAAAAAAAAGTTCATGTATATTCTCTTTATTGCTTGGATCGCCTTTGATGGCATCTTGAAGTGAGACAACTAACACATGGAGAGATTATCCTCTCTATTGCTTTCAACCTTCAATAACATCTCTACTTTGCACCCAAGATGTAAGGATGAGTATATCACCTGCATGCTTGATCCTTGGCCTCAGCATGATCTATTATTTTTCTTGCATGTTATTCATGTACACGCCATTCTGGGATTTTGTAATTGACCTGCATGTTTTCTTTGACCTTTAAAAAAGTATATCGCCTCTCTAACAGCAGGGAAGTGGTTCATCCCAAACTGTAATTTTTGTCTCCTAAGAAATCAAGGACATAGCAGTATGTATAACCTTCAAGTAAGATTGAAAGTATATCGCCATAGAACAGATCCTGTTCAAGTAAGTTTGCAAGTATATTGCCACTCTCAAGGAGTTGGGGACGCATCAAGAAGAAAGGTCTCAATTTAATCTCTCTCTTGCCAAGGAGTGGCTCCAATTTTTGTTGGACTATAAGTTGGAACTTGATGCAGCTAGCTCTCAAGATATCTATTAATAAAGATATGGATTCTGTTTCTTCAAATTCTTATTTGTCTAAGGACGGATCAGGGGATGTTAGTTCAAAGATTTTTTGTTATTTGGAGTATTTTTATGTCCCTAATTTCACTACAAACACCCTTGGATGGGTCTATTTGTTGATGTTTCTCGGTTTACTTATTATTCTTCAAGTGTCCTAGATGTACTGCTCCTTGTTGAGGTTCTTATATTGTTTTGTCCTTTTTTTTTTCTCTCCCCGGGAGTTTGTATCCTAAATAATTATTTCTTTTCATATTTTCAATGAAAAGTTATCTCTTGTTAAAAGAAAAAGAAACGAGCACTTTCCATTAAGGGACTGAAAAGTACAAAAGACCGACCAGAACTATATCTCCCCAATTGATTTTTATATCAAACAAGGTGTAATTACATAAGGATTTGGACTGGATGGCCCACAAAGATACGAAGTAAATAACATTTTCCTATAGTTGGTGGAGAGGTCTATCAAAATGCGGGAGAAGATGCAGTTCTTCGTTTTCATACAAAATTAAAATAATTAATTATGAATATAAATGAATCTCTCTTTTCAATTTCTCTCTTTTCAAAAATAGGCCTTTGTTAATTCTGTCTTGCTATGGAATGACGATAGCTTTCATGATCTTCTGAGTCTTTGGATTTATCTACATTGCTTTTAATGTTGTACAACATGCGTCTCTGTCCAGATTCTAGGAAGATTAAATGTTTCTCTTAATTGGTTACTTTTTGGAGGATTAACACAATAGGTTGCATCCAAAGATCTTTGTCTTTAGTTTCATTTTCCCGTAGTGTGTTTTATTCAAGCATCAGCAGACAAACATCAAAAGATTTGGACCATATTTTATGGAATTCTTACGAAAAGCTATGACAGAATTTTTTAGATCTTTGGTGTTAGTTGAACTCCAGGCAATGGTTGCCAAGTATGATGCAGGAGGTACTTCTCCACTCTCCTTTTCATGATGGAGGGCGATTTATGTGACAAGTGGTTTCCTTTGCTACTCTCTAAGATAATAGGCTTAGGAGAATCAGGAAAATATTTACGTATGAGAGGTGTCTAGGAAGGGTCAGAGTGTGGCTCACTTCAATACCTGTCTCTTTGGGTGTTCTCTTAAAAATTCTATAATTTTTTATATCCTGTACCAACTTGCCAACACCTCAATTAATTTCCTAAGACAATCATCTAAGTTCTAACCCTACTACATTTAGTTGCCAAGAAAACCCGTAAAATAATAAATCCTAAGCAGATGATCATCATGGTTTTAATTACTCGTTATCTTTGATGGTTAGCAATTGGAGCCTCTAGCTGAATTCTACTTTATTTCTGTTTTTTCTGTGGCTTCACTTGTTTAGGCTCTTTTTAATTATTCGTTATCTTTGATGGTTAGCAATTGGAGCCTCTAGCTGAATTCTATTTTATTTCTGTTTTTTTCTGTGGCTTCACTTGGTTAGACTCTTTTTATGGTCTTGCATTTGGTCTCTTATCGAGAGAAGCTAACAGTGGAGCAAATTCAATTACACTTGTTGCTAAAGAAATTAACATGAACGAAAGAAAGAAAATTTACTTTAATGTTTTTTTTCACAAGGAACAGAATTTTTCATTGATAAAATGAAAAATTACCAAGGAAGATATGCTTACTCTGACATATCAAATGTCATTGAAGTCAAAAACATGATGAGGAAACAACTGACAAGAACTTCAGTAAAATAAGCAGCATCCAGTGTTGACATTCAAAGCCTAGTTTCAATATAAGAAAGAATTACAATTGTGACAGCTCGCACTACTTCTATAGGTGTGGAGAGTTCTTCAGGGAGGTTTGAGTCTTGGCTAGATTTGATGCCTCCTCTTGGGTTTATGTAAGATTTAAGTGCTTTCTCATTGTCTCTCATTTTTTCTACTGGATCCCTCCATAATGTTTTGTAGTAAGGTAGTTTTTTTTCCCAGCTCCTACTGTTTTGGGCTTTCCTTTTTGGGTATTGCCCTTTTGTATTCTTCCACTTTTCTCAATGAAAATTGACATTTTCATCAAATAAATGAATAAAACAAAAATTGTAACAGCCGTAGGAAATGAAGCCTTGTATGCTTTCCGTACACATGCAGGCATGACCAGCAGAGGAAGATAAGAAGAAAACTGATCAACCACACATGTATGGGATATTTGGTTCAAAGATTCTTTTCCCAGTATTAATATTCTAATACTGGTAAGAAGAACCATTTAGTCTGGATTGGCACTAATATCCTAATACTGGAAAGAAGAATCGATTAAGTCCGAGTTGGTATTAGTATCCTTGAACTCGTAAGAAGAATTAATGAAGTCCAGAATGTAGAACATACCGCATACATGCATTCATTAATAAGAAAATCCTCCAGTTCTCGTACATTTGTAACATCTAGTTCCTGCATTAATTGACCGTAGGCTAGCACCTGGGCATGAAATCAACAGATAATTTAATGGTGAATGCCAGGAATCTACATATTATCATCTACTAAAAGCTTTTGTAGGAAACCTACATATAGAGACATGAAACAATATTGAGTATATACTAACAGTGAGCTGCAAAAGAAAGACTGAGAATGAGACAAGAACTTTATTAGATAATAGAAACTAAGAATCAGACCAAGATGGTCCCTACGAGACCTCTCGCATCATACTTGGCACCAGGCAAGTACCTGGTGCCATCCAACCTACGGTCTTTAAACATTTCAAACTAGGGATCTAGGGTAAAAACTACCTGTATGCATGTTTCTTTAAACAATAACCTCGTTCCCTTTTATAATTTACCTCAAAAGTTCAAAATACTATATTTTAATATCAAATTGATATTATTGGTTATGTATTATACACCTCACTTCACTGATGCCCGTGCTCAGGCTCCAAAGAGCTATGTACCCCTCTGAAAACAATTAACATTTTTTATGACTTTTTTAACTACCACAACTTGATGTACCCACAGTCTATTGCACCACTTAACCTAACTAAATGATGGTTTGTTCTCAGGAAATCAACTATGGCCAATAACATTAGCTCCAGCAAGTTGTTAGACCCACAAAGGTGAAGCAGAACAGAAATACAGACTGTTCCAAATCAGCCAGATATATCTACAAGTGGGTTAAGGGGGAGCAAGAATACCTTGTTTGTCTCAGCCAATGTAAGGACAGTAAGTTGCTTTAATTTGAGGGCTTGATCAGAGCTCAATTCTGGAAGAAGGCTGGAATTACCTGCAAATTTAACATAACCATCGACAAAACTTGAATTGCATCAAGTGCAGTCATGAAGAGCACACACTTCAAAGTTGAAGTAACAAAATTGTAGCTAAAGAAAAACAATTGATAGATGCAAGGTAAGTTATGATACACACACTTTTTTTGAAGTACTACAACGAAATTGAAGCTAAGTAAAATTAATATATAGAGGCAAGGTTATAGCAGTTATGATACAAGATGCTATTCATGAAAAAGGAAACTTACAACACTCGAGCACTTCAAGGCAAAGGCCTAAACTCACCAAAACTAACTACTCTTTAAATTCTGCCCATTTCCATCCCCCCTTAACTCCCTTCATCTAAAACCACTCTAACAAAAAATGACAAACCACAAACGAAAACGAATCCACAGCAGAGCAACAACAAACAAAAACAACACTTAATAAGAAATACTTTCATAAAGAAATATTTAAGTACACCATTATAAGTTTAACTGTCAATTTAGGTGTTCAAGTTCTTCCTACACTAACCAAAATGAAAAAGATAAATAAAATGTCTTTACATTCTTGACCAACTTATATTTAAACATCATAAACATAAAACTAGTGAAGATAACATGCCAATTATATCAAGAATCATATAAAATTTCAACTCTTACACTTGTAATCACTCCATGTTCCATATGCAAACAAGCGAAGCACATCAAGATATACAGAATGTTCAGTTCCTTCAAGCTGCAAAAGGTAGAGCATTAATTTTATTTTGCAGTTTAAAGGAGAGTAGGACACAACAATCATCTGAAAACTTGCAATTAACATCACCATTCTCGTAGCCAAAAAAGCATATTATCAATAAGCTGTTTCCTTCTCCCACAAAAAAAAAAAAAGCAAGTCCCACTCTGGTAGCCGAAAAGCATCAAGAAAAAAAGACCAGAAAGTTGATGGGTTTTATCTTTTAGATATCAGGTTGAAGAAGTCAGCTTTGGTTAGACACATTGATGTAACTAACTATAGTTCAGACATTTAGTTAATTAGTTAACGTCC